ATATATATATATATATATATATATATATATTGTTTATTGTTACAGATTGTGGATTACTTTAGATTCTTACACTATTTCTCATACCCCGAAACTGAATTGTTTTCTGACAGTATTTAAAAAATGTTCTGTTTCATCGCTTTGACGTGCGTTTTCATGAAAACAGTATCTTTACAAAATGATTTAAAAGAAAATCGTTACAAATCTTTTCAAAGCATGCATAATCTCTTGAAAAGGAATACCTAGCTAGCCTAACACATAGCTTAAGAGCTGAAACGAATCAATTGTTTCAAGTTATAGAAAATTAAAGTAATGCTGTATTTAACTGTTACGGGTAATTTTAAACCTAAATATACTTACACAAAAGCATTTGAATTTCAAGACGCTTATAATTATTGATCTCTAATAATAAAACGTTTTGTTACCAAATAATAATAATTTCTTAACATCTCTTTTAAACGCAAGAGTTTTTAACTCTCAAACTTAACATTATTATCATTTAAACTAATATATCATAAAATAAATTAAATAAATCGGTATTTATCGGAAATAAGGACTATAAAGTCAAGTTAACCAACACGTAGTAACAGCACCAGGTTCTGATTTACGCAGGTCACTTACTAATAATAATATGCGCAAGTGTAACAAATACGATAATAGCTTGAATATTAAACATTGCGATAATCATTAAATGTGATATGACAATTGTTGCTAAATTATATTTGGGTGACGAGAATATTGACTGATGTAAAAATTATATAAAGGAATTAAATTGGAAAAATATTGCGATATATTGTTAAATGTGTAATATTTTTCAATGAAACAGTTTCCTTAGTTTTAAATGTTAAGTTGTAAAAAGTTAACATATTTCGAGAACTAAAACAAAAACAAAAAAATCGAAAAAATAAAAAGCTTCATGCTTTCATCTTTTTCTTCAAACTGTAGATTAAATTTCTCCAAAAAATACCAATAAAAAAGATTAAATATTGCACAATACTTACTCTGACGACTTCTTCAAAATATTCCTTTCCAAAACCTAAATCTTTCATGGTAGACATTGCAAACTTCCTTTGCTCTTGCACGGTTTTCCATTTAAAATAAGGAAACCTGAAACAACATTCCCAAACTAATTACAACTGTTATAGGAGAAAAGATCCCTGTAATGATGCATAGGAAAAAAGGATTAATAATCACTCATTATTTTACAATCGAAACTCTTATCAAAAAAATGCCATAAATTCACTACGGAATCTAGCATCAAAATCAAAACATCTTACCGTCTTGTGAATCAGTAATTCGTTTATTTACTTTTTACTAGTCCTTTTTAATTGCAGTCCCACAGTGGACTAATTGTAAAATAGAGTTTCAAGTAGATCAACGAAGTCAAGCATCACTGGCTATAGTCAGTGTGCGGGTGAGTGACCACTTTGATCAGGCTACGAAGGGACCGAGGGTGTGAGGTAGATGGGATGTTTCCCAGACAGTCGCCAATAGCCCATTGAGAAGCTCTTGTGCAGCGTAAATTAACAACTAGAAATATAACTATTTAATTACAATAAAAATCGTGTTTAATAAAATGCACATTTTTAATTGTTGCATTAAATTAAATTTCACACTAAATATTTTTTTTAAATTTTATTTAATTTACTTGTTAAATATTAAAAATGAATTTCTTTTACTAGTAAAAACTGATTGAATAACTTCAAGGGACATCACCGTAGGTAGATCAGGGCATTTATCGATTCAAAAGCCAATCAAGTTCGACGCACGTACGTGACGTTGCTTACAGGTATCCAGTAAAATCTGATTCAAAT